ATAAATTGTTTTAATCTTACAATTGCGACAGTTTTACATGGACATTGATTTTGTTCTTGCTTGCTTAGAGGTTCGAATAGTTATCTTGTGGAAATATGTTACGTCGCATCGAGTCTAAGAGAGTGTCATTATGATTGGTTTAAAGAAATGGTGCGGTTTGACCAAGTTTGGAGTGGAGAGAAATAGAGAAATCTGTTACAAACTAATTTTAGGCAAGCTTAAAAGAGCTTAAGCGGATGCGGGTGAAATAGATCTGTGAGTGGGAGCAACTCGGAATTTATGTGTATTTAAACGTGAGAAAGCGATATTTTGCCTAGGTTTTCAACTTCTTGCAACGTTAAACGGCATTTACCAGGGTTGGCTTTAATTTTAATTTATTATTTATGTAATTGAAACATGATTTTTATTTTATATAAGATTATTAAATGTGGTAATAGTCGAAGCAATGAAGCAAAAAGTTCCAGGGTTTTTCCGTGCAAGTCGGATCGGAATGCGGTTTTTTGCATTCGCTTGCAAACATTATTTGTATCATTCCCCCGTAATTTCCGGGTTATACAAACCGGAAATTGCATTGCTACAGCCAAAAATGCATTCAAAAAATGCATTATTTGAGAGGCCTCTTGGATGATTTCAAAACTTGTTAAATAAGTGTCAGAACTAGCCCAGATCGGATGCTCAGGAGTATTCGAGGTCGCTGATCACGATTATGATGTCTAAATTGACCCACAGCTGACCTGGAGCTCAGGAACGTCGACGAACATCATCTTCGTGAGACTCTCCCAAAATTCACGCGAGGAAGGAGGGGAACTAGGCGATCGGGGTTTTATTTGGGTCGCTGAATCCAAATATGGCATCGGTGAATATCCCCCGGACACCTGGTGCGCCCAAACCTCGACCTGGACGTCATCTCCGAGAATTTTCCTCACAATATCGACAAAAACAACCCGAAAATGATTGAGCGGAGTTGTTTGGGGCGCTGAATCTAAATTTCACGTTGAACACGACCCCCTGAACACCTGCTGCACCGGAACTTGGCCCTGAACATCATCCCCGAGGGGTTTCCAGACACAATTGAAAAAGACGAACCGAAAATCGCTCCGGGGGTTTTTTTGGGGCGCTGAATCCGAATTTCACGTGGAAAACGACCCCCCGGACACTTGGTGCGCCCTAACTTGGCCCTGAACGTCTTCACCGAGGTTCTTCCAGACCCAATTGAAAAAGATGAACCGAAAATCGTTAAAGGGGGGGGGGGGGTTTTGGGTCGCTGAATTCAAATATGGCATCGGCGAACACCGCATGGACACCTGGTGCGTCTGAACCTAGACCTGGACGTCTTTTCCGAGGCGTCAATACTGCAATAGCTGTGTGCAATTGTTGATAAGTGAGGAGGAAAGAAAGAGAATGAATAGAAACGCAATATTTATGTAATTTACGGTAAAACAATTTTTATTGGCCTCAAATCGAATACAATGAACCTGTAAGTTTGTCATTCCTTAATTAATTAATAACTCAAATGTGTCTGGTCATTTTCTTCGTCATCGACTAATTTATTCATACAGGGAACATCTCCCTCATCTGAGGCCTCTGTCTCTGGCACACTAACGTTTTCATCTGAATATCTTTCAGTGTTAAGGCAAGTTGAACCTTCACAAATTTTACAGGCAAGATTGCAAGGTAGGCCGTGCTTCCTGCAACTACAGGTGTTAAGATTACAATCTCCTTTGCATCCACAGAATATTAGTTCCATAATATTGGGTCTGGAAAACCTCGGTGAAGAAGTTCAATGCCAGGTTAGGGCGCACCAAGTGTTCGGGGGGTCGTTTTTCACGTGAAATTCGGATTCAGCGCCCCAAAAACCCCCCGGAACGATTTTCGGATCGTCTTTTTCAATTGTGTCTGGAAACCCCTCGGGGATGACGTTCAGGGCCAAGTTCCGGTGCACCAAGTGTTCAGGGGGCCGTTTTCGACGTGAAATTTAGATTCAGCGCTCCAAAAAACTCCGCTCAATCATTTTCGGGTTGTTCTTGTCGATATTGTGAGGAAAATTCTCGGAGATGTCGTCCAGGTCGAGGTTTGGGCGCACCAGGTGTCCGTGGGGTATTCGCCGATGCCATATTTGGATTCAGCGACCAAAAAAAAACCCGATCGCCTAGTTGCTCTCCTTCCCCGCGTGAATTTTGGGAGAGTCCCAGGAGGATGACGTTCGTCGACGTTCCTGAGCTCCAGGTCGGCTGTGGGTCAATTTAGACATCATAATCGTGATCAGGGACCTCGAAACCCTCCGATCACCCGATCTGGGCTAGTTCTGACACTTATTTAATGAAATACATTGTTATTCTTATGTTAATTATACAGTATTACGTTATATTATTTATATAGGGGTGGATCATAAAGTAACTAAAGTATCTGTTAAAAAATGCTTGTCATCATCGGCTAGGTTGGTACAAAATTGTTAATAGACAGAGATAACGGATGTATTAGAAAAATTGACTAAGTAATTATTTTTCATTTTATAATTTGAGTATGGAACAATCAAAATACAGGACATATAAGCAGTAATCCACTCTGTACCGATGTGGAATGCGTTTCTTGTTAATTAACTCCCATTTTCTTACATACCTGTGTAAAATTTTCGTATCCTACTGTTATTAATTGTAACTAAAACAAACGATGTGCATGCTACAAAAGCTTTTCTTAACATCTTTCAAAGATGCATGCTGTTATTTATTTTGAGGATGGCGTTAGCATTACTTCAAAAATGCAGTTAATTTCAATAGATTAGGCAGGGGCGGAGGTGAAATATATTACTAATTTTATTTAAAAAAAACTTGGATTTTGTAACTGCTTGTGAAATAATTTTTCAGATGCAAAAATGTATGTTTTGAGATATCTGCTATTAAAGATAATGGCGTCAACGCAATAATTACCCTAAAAATAATAACTTCTATAAAAAATCTTTATCAAGCCTTGGAGACCGAGTATCTCAGTAGATTCATGACAGAAATTGTTCCCACCATAGTATACAGTTCTTGGATTTATTTTTCGTTAGTAGAAACAACTTTAAGCAGTAGTGGGTATGTGTATTTTTCGCTTTTATAATTATTTTTTGGTTTCGCTTCGTGATTTAAATATATAAGTTTGGTATTTGTTCTTCCGTATATATTTATTATGTTTTTAAGTCGATATTCACCAATCTAGATAATACCTATAAAATAATGAATGCAAATAAGCTTTTTATTGCAAACATCGATTTCATCATAGATTATTTATGTACCATGCAGTGTTGTCTAATCGTTAGAATAGTCGAGGAATGTAGGAAGTTTCGAAAATTAAATTTTTTTGGCTATATTACTAGGAAAAATTAATTTTAAAGGTTTTTTTAATAATCATTTATATGTAGAAAAGTATCATTCGTTGCGGAAAATCCTTATGAGCTAGACTTTTTTATTTATTTGAATGAACTTTTATTGCGAAAGTTTTTTTAAGGAAATCAGATCTGAAAAAAAAGTGATTATATCTGTTTGGTAGTTTGTAAAGCAATAGTAATATGATTCTTAACGAGTCATTCATTTTCATTTATATTTAACGTTAGTAACTAAAAAATTATAGTTTGATATCAGCCTGATCACTAAATATGAACTGTGAATTATATTCATTGATTTTAATTGGACACTTGACAACATGGCGTATTTGTAATGATAGAGTATGACAGATATAATTCTAATGATCCTTTAATGACTCTCATAAGCCCGTAATACTTAAAACGTTAATTTATGGGGTTCCCAAAGCCTAAAATGTAAGTTTTGATAAAAAATGTATTTTTAAGATAAGGGCGCCTTCCCAATATTTACCTAACGTACCAAATTTCTTCAAAAATGTTTACGTTCGACTTTAGGGACACAGTTTTTACTTTATTTTTTTTGATTTAAATGATATTAAGTATGATTTTAACTCACCTTAGGTTTGGAAATACGAAAAAAAAAAGTATAAATCAATTATATATTTTAATTAAATACTTTTTGAAAATAAGAAAACGAGTCTTTCATTAAATTTAACCTAAAACTTGAAAATTTTAATATTTGACATTTCTTTTCTGGATAATGAGCGGGGTTGCCAAGATTAATTTATTCCTTGTTACTAGGTATTTCGACCAGCAATATTCCAAAAACTAAGTAGTCTAGGTATTAACAGTATGATCGGGTAGCGGAGAATTTAGAGTGAACTTTTATGTTGAATAAAATGATTTTGTAACATTGTATTTCTAGAAATTATTCAAAAATGTCATGTGAAATGTCAGTAAGTTATAAAAACTTACAAAGGATTGCTGTTTAATTTTATAAACAATTGTATAAGCTGATATGAACAGATATTATTCTTTGATCTGTGTTAGGGGCCGGGGAGCGATGTTTGATACAGATTTTGGTATTTTATCATAAAATTCTATTATTTTTATTTAAATAAACAAATCATAAAAGTATAATTATTTACGAGTTTACAAATTAATCTTCTTACATATTAAAATACTTGGCAACCCTGTACACATAAGTCAAAATATTTGATTAAAAATGTGCAATTTTTGAGATTTTAATATTAAATTTCTCGCTTAATCATGGATAATCTCCAAATTTTTTTTTATTTTCATGATGTATAACTTCTCTACTTTCTAATAGTACAAAAAATATTTTGAAATACATGTGTCTTTTAAGTCGAATGTAACCCAAAAAATTTCCTCTGAATGAGTAATATTTATTAAGTCCTGTAAAAATATAATTTTTTCCCAATTACATCGCCGCCCATGCTCCAACCTAAAGAATTTTATGAATGGTAACGCATTCTTTAGTCACAATCATAGTAAACTATGAAATACCGAACAACCGAAGAACGTACCACGGCAAACTAGGCTCTATGTCTCCACTCTCCAAAGACCCATCGAAAAATAGATATTCCATTGGCCTCGACTGTTTTTTTAAGGTTCCCTGGGTCCTAGAGCCGTAGTACGGATCTAGAAGCCCATGAGAAAGGGTATCTCGATTATTTTTCGATAATGGTTTAGTTGTTTTGTTTGTTAGAGTGTTGTTGTTCGGTTGTTTATTGTTTTATTATATTTTTTTTTTGTTGGATTTTTCTTTTGAGTTTTCATGGAGAGCGAACTGGAAAATGGAAAAGGTGAGATCATTTTTATCGTGGGAATTTCGTTTCGGCGGGTAATTGAGTTTAGAATTCGTTCAGCATAAGATGCGTAAAAACTTAAATTAAGTGCGTAAATCCATGTAATTCTATCAATTAGTAACCTAATTAAATTTTATTCGATTCAAGATGTTTGTTTGTTAATTTGAACAATATGCGTTTAGTGACATTAAATGATAAGACGAAACTTTTATTTTTGATATTTTTAAAGTGCCAACTTATCATAATTTATAAACGATTTTTTTTATTGATCGAAGCCTCAAATTTAATCAAATTAGGCTTTCACGAAACTTTCATTTCTATATTTCTCATTTCTAGATACAAACAAGACTGTTATTTTATTTCCGATACAAGATCTAAAAAAAATTTCTATTTTTTTAAAAAAGAAATAATATTTAACAAAAAATAAAAGGGAAATTTTTATTAAATCCCGTAAAATGTGGTATATTAGTGCAACTATATACGTTTAGACTTTAAAATATAAAAACAGAATGTAAAGGCCAAAACTCACAGCTTATAATAGGTCAGTAAGATCAATATAAAACAAACGAGTGTAAACAACTTTTAATTTAAAAAATATGAACACGTGCTGGTGGTAGAAGAAAAAGAAAATGAATTGGTGAAATAGGTTCAAATAACAAATCTTCGAATTAAAAAATTTCGAAAACATTAGTTCGAAAATCGAAAATACAGAAGGTCGAAACTAAAAAAGTTTGACACTGATGCAGGTTTTTTTTTTAATTTTTCTCATTATTTATGTATAATTTTTCTGCAAAACAACCCGTGATGGCTTCAGGCCGCACAGGTTAAGTAAATTAGTTAAGGTTTGTAATACAAGGAAAATATATGTAAAAGTTGGATACATATTGATGTTAAAACATAAAACAGTCTATCTTTGTCTCTTTAATGGTCAAAAGGTTATATCATTTACCTACTAACGAACTTTGACAGATTTTTTTAGAACTATGCTCACTTTAGATATGTTACGGGCAATTTGATTATTCCAGGCATTATTCATAATGGCTGGGCAATTTATAAAGTACCTAATACAGTCGGGTCATTTAATAATTTTGTATTTGTCTATAATAATTTATTGCACTGCCCGGTCTATATAAATACTGCTATTATTTTCTGGGCACTTTGATTAATTTTAAGCAATTTGCCAACGTGCGTATAGTGTGATTCTCACTGGCCAATCAGCATCAATTTTTGATGGCTTGTCGTTTGTCCATCTTGCGCGTTAATGAGTTCTCGTTGTACACCAAGATCATTTAACTAAATTTGTTCAACTTCGACCTCTTAAAAGCAAAAGAGCAGAAGAAGTAGCTTATGTGCTTTTGGATATTTTCACCATTTTTGGTGCGCCCACTATTTTGCAGAGTGATAATGGCAGAGAATTTGTCAATAGTACTATTAACTATGTACCATGTGGCCCGAATTGGTACATGGGAAGCCCAGACACTCTCAAAGTGAGGGCTCCGTCGAACGTGCCAATCAGGACGTGGAAAATATGCTTTGTTCGTGGCTAGAAGACAATAACAACAAGAAATAGTCAGAAGGCTTATTTTTGTATGTAGACAAATATAAATAAAAATATTCCCAAAATGCCCACTCGACTTCCAGCATTATTCATAATGCCTGGGCAATGTGATTTTTTCTTGGATCCGCAGGCAGACTCACCCCCCCCCCCCCCCCCCCTTATAGCTCTTATTACACACATAAAATCGTCTAGATTTTAAATTGTCACCTGTATAGTTTATTTACTTTCGATTTTATATTTTTTATGGCCTGTATACTATTGCAATTTACAGCACAATTGTTGATATTGCAATGGGTTTCACGTGGAGGCAATGACAGCAGTTTCTGGCGCCGAATAAAAATTTTAGATGCCTTTAATTGTCAACAAATAAATCTTTTTATCAATTCTTTCATACACTTTATGTCTTTGATAATTGTGAAAAATAAAGCTATAATAATATTATGAGTAAGCTGCAGGTTTAGATAATAATCATATTAAAGCAATAAAACGTGTGTATGATATGATTATTTATTCAAATTGCCATAATTAACACTATAACAATAATATTGATTGATATGTTTCATTTTTAAACGCAAAAAATACAATTCTGCCTTTCTAAGCCAAGAAGCGGTATCTCGAAAACAACGAATTTTCTATTATTTAACACATCAGATAGCTTGAAAAATTCTGCATTAGATGAATTAAGAAAAAATAATAAAATCTCATTCAAAACATTAAAAAAAAAAACCTAAAACAAACTTAAATGTTTCAACTTCACTTGTACTTACTAAAAGGCTTAGGGGTATGCCATTATTACTAAGCTAAATGGCTGCATATTATTATACGCCCTAAGAACTTCAAAAATAATAATAATAATTCATACGGCCGAGGTACATACAGTCTGTTCGCTATACTTACGCGGGTTTCGGATTAACAAAATTATGCAAATTAGTCATTGACAACCAGTTCCAATAAGCCTTTTACCAAGAAATTAGTAAAATTGTCCTAATGGTCAGATTTAAATTAAAATAACATTAGGGTAGGTACTAAATTTGTTACAAATATTGCAGTTGAATTGATTCTTTGCAAGTGTTGACATTGTATGTATATTGTAAATTTAGTAAAAATTTTAAAAATGCATAGACGTGTGTTAGATGTAGATAGTCTAATTTGTAGTGTACATAAGTATTTTACGGATGAAAAAGAAAATGGCGGTCCTTAAAATCGGTAATGTCTGTACAACGATGTTTATGCGATTCTCTAGGAATTAGTAAAACCTAATTAAAAGGAGTATTACAAAATCACAATAGTGAACTGCCAAATAATAAATATTAATAAACTATTTGGATCAAATAACAAATTACTCTTATTGCATATGCTCTGCATATTTTTCAATTTTTTACGCATATATTGAAGTATTTTGCGGCATATATATGCGCATATTTAACTACTTTTTGGGTGCATATATTCCTAGGTTTAGTGATGATGATGACGATTATGATATTTTGGAGATAATGATTGATTTTCATTTTTGTTGGCAAGTTCAATTTTTTTATTTTTCGTTTAAAATTACCTACATGGAACAATTTTTTATGTTAGAAAATATTTTATTTGAGCTAAATAACCCTCTTATTATACATAGACCATATTTTCTGTGTGAAGTGTAATATAAAATTATTTTTAGGTTTATAATAACCACATTAGACTCCATTAATGAAGTTTAATTCTGCTCTCAATTATACAAAAGATTCTCCATTATTATTTAATTAAAGAGTTGTACATTATTTTTCATTTCATTTAACCAGTTGATATTTCCCCAAAGAACAGCTCAAACTTTCGGGTACTTACCTGGAAATACTCATAAAATTTTTAATCCGAAACCCGCGTAAGTATAGCGAACAGACTGTACATTTTTTAGGTGACTCTCATAGTGTAAAATCAATATTTTTTTCCTTCTTGCGTTTGAAAATGCATTTCTGACAGAACCATCAACTCAAATGACGTAAAAGTAACTTAAATTAGGTACTTTCGATGCTTCTCGTCGGATACGGATAATATTGAAGACCCTATATACAATTTTAAATGTAGAAATACCGATGAATTTTTTGCAGCTTCTTATGATATAGACAAACCCTCAGCTTTAATTAATGGATGATACCATTGATTCATTATGTTTATTGAAGGTTAATTAAAATATATTTCTCTTACAAACTTATATCTGTTAGAAATAATATTATGCCTTTTTAGAGTTAAAAGTAAAAGCAGATAGGGACATGGTGAAAGACATAACAAAACATTTTTCTGAATTTAATGAAAGTGAATTTTTGGAGAAGTTTGCAGTCATTCAATGAAATAATTTTTATTTTTTATTGATTATTCTTTAAAATATTTATTTCAGATTACTGTGGATGTAAAAATTAAAATTATTTAATAGTTTTGCCTGAAAACTGGTATAAGACAGTTTCCTACTCGAATATCTCCAAAGCTCTACATCCAGATGCTTTGCTGATTCTGAATTGTTCAATACAATCTGAAAGAGAGCAAAGAAGAAGAGACGATAACTGATTGCAATCAAAGTGCCTTTACGGCTTTACTTGCCTCGTTAGAATAATAATAATTAAAGACCATCACAATATTTATAGGTACTCAATAAAAAAAAAATAGAAACATTTAACAAAGTACATAAAATTTATTTCATTATATAAAACATAAAATGTCATCCAAAGACAACTCTAACAAACGGTCTTTTTATATCTTTTCTAATTAAATAAACTCGTTAAATTTGTATAAATGTGCCGCCTGTTTATAGCCATAATTATTAATTTGTATTGAGAACCTGAGAAGCGTTGTAGGAATGGGCGCTTCTAGAATTTTCTCCATGGGCACCAAGGATTTGTCACAATATTATGATGCACGTTTTATATGATTCCATGTCAAAACAGCTCAAGTGAAAATATCGCAATTGCAAAATAGTGCAACGTCGAAATAGCACAGGACAAAATAGCGCAAGAACAAAATAGCGCTGGACAACTGTGAAGCTTTTGGCCAAAATTTCGATTAAATTTTTTTCTTATTAAAAAAAAAAAACCTCCATAAATCGTAAAACCAGGGATGGAGAAAGGTAAATTAAAATCAAAAACTCACCATTTTTAACCACCTATTCGTCCTAAAAAAAACATATAAGAAATCTTAATAGAAATAAAAATAATTGAGAAAATGATTAAAATATGGTGTAACAATTTGTTTAAAGAAGAAGGTAAATTTAAATTAAAACACTCACCATGCGAAGGCGATCATTCCTCCTTCTTCTGTCCCATTATTTGTTGTTTCAGTATTTACTTCTGCATATTTACAATATCCATTCTTTCCAGTAATTTTTCCGACTAAAACGCGACCGGAAAATCTTCTATTCGCGACGACATTAATGATCATCGTATCATGTTCAATTCTATATCAATCC